ATGGGATTATTGCCATAGTCCTTCAATCTAAAACCATCTTCAACACTGTTTATTGTTTAGCTGCAAATACAGATGCAATCTACTCATTAAAAGTTACGGTCATGGTGAGTGGAGGTAAGGACATTTAAAATCTCTCTTCTCAAAATTAATTTGTGAAAATTGTAATATAATATCTGCATCTGTCAAACCATCATGTGACATTATTAGCAAATACTCTTTTTATTCTTCAATTAAAAATTTTTTAAAGTTAAGGCCAGAGCATGACAAGTTACTACATATCATATATGGATAAAAGGAAGGGATCTCTTGGTCTTCTTCCCACATCCTGGCATAAGCTTTACCATGAGCATCAATGTGCATCCACCACTGGGGACTTTGACAGGAAATAGCAGCAAGAGAGGCAACCCAGTACAGTGTACCAGGAGTATGCCCCTTTCAGAGGCCATGAAACCCTACCAAACCAAACAGTCAAGCTGTCTTCTTATATCTTTCCATCTCCTATCCCCTTTTCCAGTGGGATCGCTTCTTAAATATACAGAGGTATAATTAAAAATTAATTGTTTCAGTGAGCCAAGTACTCTTTGGTTTTCTGTTTTGGTTGTAGAAAACCAAAAGTGTTCCAGAGCAAAGAAGAATCATAGTGAAGAACAATGCATTGAAATTCATCAAGAAACCTTGCTACTTTTAGCATGTTTGTTTTAAATGTCACTATTTGAAATGTATTACAGCAATCAGCAATTTGGTGTGAAGCTTAAAGGATGTAGAGCCGTCTATAGTGCTTCAGAAATGTTACAAAATGAGTGAAAGAAAACATTTTAAAGAGGAATTCTCAAATATTCCCAACGTTAAGCTTTTTAATGGAGCTATTGATAACCTTGTTATCTAATAGAGTTATGACTACAGAATGCATTAAACTTCTTGGCCATAGCCAAATGGATGAAACCGGAGAAAGAATACAGTGTACTTGATAAAAATGCTATCTATTTAAAGTATTAGAGTGGCCATTATGTTCAAGTACAAAGTTTTGATCCTCTCAATAAACTTAATCTAGGAAGAATAAATGTTTTAGAACTTTTAAAATTTCACTAGGACACAGGGTACTCTCAGAGTTTGTACTTAAGATAGTGTAACATGTAAAAGCTGATTTTGAAAGATTCACACATAATAAGTTCTAAGGTTGGTTCTGTTATTCTTTTCTATTATGTGTACTTGTGGCTAAGGATGTGGAGTAGGGGGATTTGTACGTGATTTTTATTCAGAAAGTTAGAAAAGGAAAAAGAATTCAAGTATTGTAGTAATATTACTTCTGTCTGTATGACATCAGAGGTAAGATTTTAGTGTCATCTCAGCCAGCAACAAATTGTATGAACTCAGACACCTTTAACCTCTCCAAGACTCTGGAAATGGAGAATCATGATTCTCTAATTTACAGAATGCTTGTGAGGATTTGGTAGAGTAGGTACGATTTATTTTTCCTACCTACTTTAGTGATTTAAAATAAGTTAAATATTCTAAACTGAAACAATGTTATACATTGTAAAATCTGCAAACATGCAAAGAGTTAGGCAAAGATTCAAATAGTGCTATTCTCTAACACTAAAGTATGTAGGAAAAATAAATTCTTAATCTTTGATACATAAGTAAATTTTATTGCCTTTCCCTTTCTTTAAGAAAAACATGTTATACACATTTATGAGTACATTAAATAATATAATGCAATATATAAGTGTAACATTTATAGGAGGCATAGATTGCCTCAGCTAGAAGAAATTCTGGAAATTTTCTGGTTTGGTACTTCTTAGCATTTGTTTGGTTTATAGACAACTTTGAGAATCTGCTGAAAGGTGTGGTCCTTCTCCCTCACCCCAAAAATTGCTCTACACAAAAATTAGTACATAATTTAAGGAGTTCAAGAACCCTCTGACTCCCAAACTAAATACTCTTCATCTAAAAATGGAGAAATTAAGAAAGATAAGTGATATCCTCTTGAGGCTTAAAGGTTATTTTGAAGACATTTTCTGAGAAAGTTTTCATTTCTAAAGAAAGCTTTTTCTTTAAGGATTTCAGATCTAAACATTTATCAGTTATTTGAGAAGGATTCTCAGGCTACAGCTGCATTTTGTCGTGAGATTGCTCTCTTATCCACCCTTGATGTATTAGATGCAGATGAGATCTTTGCAATCCCATGCAAAATTTAAAAATTGGAGTATTGATTGAATTTTTTTATCATGCTTTTCCTCCCATAATTATTCTGCTGCATTTTCAGTAAACATTCATTAAATACCTGCCCTGGTCCAAAGCCTACACAAGATAACTATGAATGAGACTCAGTTTCTGACTTTGATCTAATACAGTTTAGCAACAGACTCATGAGCCTGTAATAGGGAAGTTCAGATAGAGGAGCAACTCCTTCAGCCCCAAAACTCAGAGAAGGTCCAATTTTAAGTAGCATTAAAGTAGAGCCTTGAAGGAGAGTAGGAGTTTGCCAGGCAGAGATTCAGATAGCCTAACTCTGCATGTTTGCAGATTTTACAATTCACAATTATATTTTTTAGTTTAGAATATTTAACTTATTTTAAATCACACTTATGTGGAAATGTACTTAGTGCTAAAATATATGGGATGTTCCATTGAAGACTCTGCAGCATCATTCTCTAAGCCACGAAGTCTCTAAGCCTCAGTCATACTCCTCTCTGGCCTGCAAATTTTGGCCAGTCAACAGTGGCTCACAAATTCTTCCTTTGGAGTATCTGTGCATCTTTCCCTTCTTTTCTGTTCCTAGTATCATCTTTCCATAGCTCACTATTCTGTTAAACCAGATCCTCAGGATCCATGTCACACACTTTCACCAGTCCTTCTTGCACACAACCACCAAATACATTTTCCTAAAATTAATTTATTCTGAGACCCTTCTAGGAAACATTTGCCCCAAGTTATTCATAGGATGTAGTCATCTAGTCTACTTATTATCTTACTTAAAGGCTGCTGTGATCACCCATCATTCTTGGGACATTCTTACTCCAGCCAGACAAGTACAAGTGCCGACATGTTCAAGTCTCACCTTAACTGCGTTTTAGCTGCTGCATTTATCTCTTTGAGCATGTTTCTTTATCTATGAGTTACAGGAATAAAAAGCAAACCTGTTAGGAAAATGTGTGTACTAACACATGGGAAGTGCCCTGGGTTGTGCCTGACACGTAAGTGGTTCTCAAGAAACTGTATTATTTCTAACCATTGTTACCATCATCTTCCTCCAAAATGCATCACATCTGTGTCACACAATATTTTTTCTCTGAAAATCGCTTCTCCTCTTCCCCAGGTCATTTGTTATTTCTTTACGACCATGCTTCTGGCTTACCTTCCCCCAATGTCTACCCTAGACCTGCATTCAGCAGTCTTCCCTCACATTTTCTGTATCACCAATAGATTTGCCTCATGTTGCTTCTGAACTTTTCCTAGGGCCCTTCTCTTCCTAATAAAGCTAGAACAGCTAGAACTGCCCCTAAGTTAAGTAGGTTGTCATGCAAAATCCTGAGCCTCCTGGACTTCACCCTCATTTGAGGATGTTGAAATATTCATGAAACAGTTGAAAGATTTGATCATTGATGTCTAAGGATCTTTTCAGTCATGAGTTTCCGATTTTGAGTTGTTTGGGAATGAAAGTATGTCTCATACTGCCTCTTATTTCCTACAGCTAATAACATTGAAGTCACACTTGACTATTTGGTGTTTCACACTAATTTTTCTAAAGAATCATTGTAATTTTTTATCCTTGTCACAGAGGAGCAATGGCTTTCCATTCCTCAGGGGAATATAGTAGGAAGTGTATATGGCTTGAGGATTGAGGGATGTGAACCTCACATCAGTGCCTTGCACCGTATCTGAGCTACAGTGAATGTCTAATGAATATTTAATGAATAAGCACCAATCATAAGCAGTGTTTCACTGCATCATTGTACATCCCTTGGGAACACGTTCGAACAGAGCAAATGGAAGTGTCTCTTCCAAATTTCAAGCTGATGTTTTAGGAAGAAGTACGTCAAGGGAAAAAATCTGTTGGGGGAAAAAAAAATGGCCTTTAAATTCCCCTGGAAGAATATCTTTTACTGAAAATTTGATTTTCCTTCCTCACAACCTCCTTAATGAGCAAAGAGAAAGATCCTGTGACTCCCAGACAACATTTATCTTTAATATCCTTATTGGAAACTCTGTTCTTCACATTGTTTTGGAACAGTTTCATTACACAGGGCATCTCTAATTTCTGCCAGCTATTTGAGTCTTAGAAAATAACTACTTTGCCTTCTCTATAGCAGAATTTCAGTTAACCGCACTTAATCTCATTGTGGTCTCTCCTTTTTATACCAGTTCAGCTTACTGCTGAAAGAACCTTCAGCTTTAGACAACACTACCTGCTTTCCTCCCCCCATAACTTCCTCAGTTGGAAAGGTGGGGTGGGATGGTGGCTGGGAAATAAGGAGGAAATCAGTCAATTGCTAGCTGTCAGAGTTGTTTTAGGTGACTTTGTACTTCTTGAATTTAAGATCAACATGAACTATAGGCATTTCTGGCTGGGAATTTAAATAGCAACAAAAAAGCATGGGTTTTGCTAATGCCAGGAATGACTCATCTGGCGAGAATGGTATTGTACTGATAATACAATGCAGAGAGAAAGAAAAGACTGTTGTATCTGCTCTCTTTGTGCTGCTGACCTTGAGGAGAATTATAACTTGTTTGTTGCAGAAGTTGAGCATCTAATGTGCTGATGCACCTGTTCTTAAATGGCAAAGCACTTGCAGTTCCCTGTCATTGCTTTGTGGGTAAAATATTTTCTGTATTCTGGTGAACTGCTTTTTTTTTTTAACTAAATAATCTATTCATTTGTATTTCTCGTTTTGCTTATTTCTCATTCTATTTAAACATTCTAGTCTCATCATTATGTCTTCAAACATGTTTGGTTTTTGGTTTTCAAGGTAACATGATTATGATTTTTTTTCATATAGAGACCATGAGCCAGGCATCTCCTGCTAGAAAACTGGAAGAGATTCTTCATCTAGCAGAGCTCTGCATAGAAGTCTTGCAGCAGAATGAAGAGCATCATGCAGAGGTGATGACCTGTTTTCACTGTAGTATAAAGCTATATGTAAGGCTTTGCTGTGGTGGGGGCTACATTGAATAAGTGGCCTGCTCATAGTCTTGATACATATCTGAATATTTAATGAATAAGCACCAATGATAAGCAGTGTTTCACTGCATCATTGTACATGCCATTGTACATTCACATATGAGAGCATATGTGAATTTTCTAAAAACGTAACTCCCATATATTACAAAGCAATTGTGTGTGTGTATACTTTCGTGTTTATTCCTGACAACAAACACCGATGGGATCTGTCCAAGGATGCGTAACTGGTAAGAAGCAAAGACAGAACACAAACCCGTCTTACAACACCGCATCGCGTGCTTTTCCCCTATGCCATGATTACTTTGGTTTAGAAATGTAAGTTAATCAACTTGGAAGTGGGAAATTTGTGATACACTATAAAACAAAATTTTAGAAGAAGACAATCATAATTGTATGGTTGATAACCCTAGGCTTTCACTCTTATGTCAAACTTTTCACTTGTTTAAATTTTCACCAAACCTGCATTGCTTATAATTTTTTAAAGTTCTAATTGAATATTACCATTCACTAAATATTTGGAGTGGCTTTTCACCAGGAAAACTGCTTATTCTGAGACTTGAAATTCTCACTCTAATAGTCATGAGTTTATTCACAGAAACAAAAGAATTTTCTGACTTTGAGTTGGATAGGGAAAATGTATAGCATTAAATAAATATAATAAATGTCAGTGCCCTAACAGTGCTTTTATCCTTGAAATAGGCAAGAATAAAAAGACTAGATACCTATGAGTTTATGGGATATTTGCATTTAATGAAGCCTGGTTCCAAAAGATCTAAGAAACTACAGGAACTACATTTTAAGCCATTTCATAGAAAAGAGTATTCATGAATTCTTGCTATAGGTAACTAAGATTTATTGTATCTGGTTATAAATATGATCATATCTGGTTATAAATATGATCATTCAAAACATCTGCTTTTAGCTCACACTGTGGAATCTAGTTTTTAACTTGCATCTGTCATGTGTGAACTTGTTATGGATATTTTATTTTAAACTGAAGAAACAGCTGCTTCAATAATTTGAAATGAATTCCCAGGAGGTTTTTTCTAGGCTGATACCACAGCTATGTTACAATGAAAATGATTATATGATAAAATATATATATGTTTTGTCTTTGTCTTTTGTTAAAAGGCATTATCGTCAGAGTATTCAGATTTTTTGAATTAAAACATCTATTAATAATTGGATATTCAATTGCAGTATATATTCCAGCAAAACAGGTATATCTAATATTCTCAAACATTTTACAAAAACTAAAAATTAAATGTTATTTGTACTTCATGCAATCACTAAAATGTTTGTCAAAGTATAATGTACCCAAACACAATTAAAATGTATATATGATTTACTAATCCACGGAATACAGGTGACTTTATTAAATAGAGATAATCATTATTCATAAATATCACTATACGATATGCTGAAATGTGGGACTAGTATCATGACCTTTTTAAAGATGCTTTGTAACATTATGGCAATTGTTCTACTCTGCAATGCTTCCAAATTCTTGGAAACCCTCAGGGAAGAGAGGTGAGTAAATGATTTCCACTATTATATTAGCATAGGATATCTCTTCTATGTAAATTTAAAATACAATCTACTCTGATTGTAGTTCATTTTAGCCAATTAGTCTTTTCTTTGAAATTAAAGAATGTCTGTTTTTCTTTGAATGTGCTAATTGTTGTTATACTGTTTGGTACATGTATCTTATAATAATTGCATGCATAATTACTGATGGCCATCATGACTGAAGGGATTTTGATATTTGGTTTGTGTCTTTGGTTGTTTTTTGTCCTTTAAAAAACAACAACAACAATAACAACAACAAGAAAATCTCACTTTTTCTCTGAACAAGATTGAACTGACTTCCAGAGTGAATTGGTGGACTGCATTCTGCACTGATACTTATTTTGCCAGATGTTCAAGCTAGAGTTCCTTTGCTCCATGAAAGAGCACCTGACTCAGCTCCCTTGGTGGAGGTTAATGTATCTGCCTCAAAGAGACCTTCAAGTGGCTCACGTGTCAGTTCCTTTTATTTTCATTCTACCTCTCTCCACAGTGGCAGTTTGCTTTACAGGGCAAAGAGGTTGTTTCTATCCTTCAACAATTTCTCAGTTAAGCAGGTTTTATGTCCTTCAGATCTTTGACAGTAACTTATCAGGCAGTTTTCCCTTCTCTCTGAAGGCCCCTCGACCTCTCTTCTCAGGCTTTTCTGCAGAATTCCTGTGTTTTCTCCTTAGAAAGATAATGTAAGTTTCTTTCCAGAAAATCATTAAGGCTGCCTCCACATTTCGGTGACCAGACCATCTCTGACCAGATATTTTAGGCAAATGAATCTGACAACTCTCCATCCAAAAGCTGCATGCTTTGACAGAGCCAGGAGGTGTCAGATGCCTGCTGGAAAAGCCATAGTATCTCACCAGTGTGCCCTTTCCACACACAGCATTTTGCTGATAAGAAAACAGTCCCAGGAAAGTTGAGCAACTCACCAGAAGTGCACAGCTAGTGAGTGACTGGGTGAAGACCCAGGCCAGACTCCAGACCTGGACGTTTTCCAGTAAACCGCATTGTTGTTTTGCAATTTAAGTAGAAAGGCAGGAGTGATTGTCCTGCCTTGGTTCTGCTGACAGACTTGAACCGAAGCATTAAAACAGGAATGCAGATACATGGGGTGGTGATCACAATGCAAGCCTGGAGATGTCCCTTTCCATTCTGTCATTCTCTTCTTTCCTTGTACTCTGGTATATCCCAGGTCTCTGCCTAAGGGAGATGGAAGGAGTGCTGAGAATATCAGTAGAAAGGATGAGAAGGACAGACCATGAACAATATGAGCACAACTCAAATCATTACTTGGTTGCTTATTATTACAGCAAAATATTGACTTAAGATCCCTAAAATATTTTAAATATGATGTCATCCACCATATCCATTCCACCATGGTAAAAAAGGTTGTTTGGCAGTAATTTGGTATTTGCAATGTACACAGCTCTCAGTTCACTGCAAATGGTTGATTCATTTGCTGGGCTGGATCAACAACAGAGCCTGGACAGTGAGAGTTCACAAACATCAGTATCTGAACCAAATTATGCTTCTGATTGGATTCTAATGTAAAGAGAAAGAGTATTTGATTTTTTTAAATTTATTTTTGCTCATGTGTATCCTTATTCCTCTCCAACTGGCATGCATGCCTAAGGAATATATTAAAGTGTGATTATACAAAAGAATTGAACATGAACAAAATCTATTTACTGTCTACTACTGACTAGATTACAATAATCCCAACAGGTGAAATGACCTCAATTGCACATTGTTTCCATCTGAATAGTCAGTGAGATAAACCGTTTTTAGGATGGGTTTAAATTTAAGGTTATATTAGCCTCTAGACCAACAAATATGCCTCATCTTGGAAGAGGATGACCAACAAGTGGCTTTCATATGGCTCGGGTATAGAAGTAGAATTCCCTTTTCAGCAGTGATTCTCAAAAGCAATTGCCTGGGCATGAATGCTCTACCAAAAATGTTTTTCATTATTTACTGATTTTTAAATATATAAGAATGAGGATAATACTTTATATTCTCATATGTTTTGAAGCATTTTCAGCTCATTATCTCATTTGGTTATTGCTTATATCTATGTTTATGAACCTGATTATCAGTGAATCACAGGAGTTGTAAAAACTTATGATTAGTTAGACAATAGTTGTGGTGTTACCTGTTTATTTTACCTGTCCCTTAAGAGAACTTAAATCATTCTAGTATTTGGCCCTCAGAATCATGTGGCTGTGTAAGTGAGTATGTGTGTATGTGTGTGGCAGGGGCAGGGGTTGCTATAGACACCGGATTGTCTCCAAGGCCTTTAGGATCATCTATAAGGTACAGGATTGCAAACTAATCTTGTTTTGGGGAGTAAACAAGCACAAAATACATTTCAAAGTCAGGTTCACTGTTTTTGCTCATTTCGGCAGCCATCTTCCATTTTTATTTTAAATTATAAATTTTTATTATATTTTGAGGATAAAAATAATCAAAGCCGGGCCTGGTGGTTCATGCCTGTAATCCCAGCACTTTGGGAGGCTGAGGCAGGTGGATCACCCGAAATTAGGAGTTCAAGACCAGTGTGGCTAATGTGTCAAAACCCCATCTCTACTAAAAATAGAAAAAATGGCTGGGCATGGTGGTGGGCGGCTGTAATCCAGGATACTCAGGAGGCTGAGGCATGAGAATCACTTGAACTTGGGAGGCGGAGGTTGCAGTGAGCTGAGATTGTGCCACTGTGCTCCAGCCTGGGTGACAGAGCAAGACTCCACCTCAAATAATAATAATAATAATAATAATAATAATCATCATCATCATCAAAAGCCTCAGGCTTTAATAAAAATTAGAAATTATGTAAAGAAATTAGACCATAAATTAAAAGACATTAACAGTGATCTGATGTGCTGATGATTGATGGATGGATGGATGGATGGATGGATGGAGAGAGAGAGAGATGATAGGTAATGTTCCATATGTGTCTCTCTTAAGAAGGCACTATATGTGTAAGGACTTGGTCTCTAGATTCCAGCTGACTTAGATTCAAATCATTGCTTTGTTATCTACCAACCATATGACTTTGGGCTATTTAAGCTCTGTTTGGTAACCTATAAAGTCAGGATAATTATACCATCTACCTGAAACAGTTGTTTGGGGGATTAAGTAAGATGACGTTTATAAAACCTTTAGAACAGTACTTGGCACATAAATACCATTTAATTCATATTGGACATTATTTTTAAAACACTTAAGATTTGTATGAATTTCAACACATATTTGTAATTACTGATCACAATATTCAGTTATTACATTAGTACAGCAAGAAACGTTTATATTTATTTGATTTTCACAACAATGCTGGGAGAGGTTAGGGTAAGTATTGTTATTGCCAATTTGCAGATAAAGAAATGGAAATCCACCCACCCACAGAACTGATTTGCCCATTATCACTCAAGTATCACCACTAAGTTTAAAAGCTCAGTACTCTGCTTCTAGGTTCAGAGTTCATTTTCACCTGCTAACATTGTAAACTACATTTACTAAAAAACAGGCTTTCCTAGTAGCTGGGATTGCAGGTGTGTACCACCATGCCTGGCTAATTTTTGTATTTTTAGTAGAGATGGGGTTTCTCCATGTTGGCCAGGCTGGTCTTGAACTCCTGACTTCAGGTGATCGGCCCTCCTTGGCCTCCCAAAGTGTTGGAATTATAGGTGTGAGCCACTGTGCCTGGCCAGTAGGAAATTTTTTAAGCTAAAGGACTTAAAATAAAACCTTGTTTTGTATTTCCCTCTTAAACAAATTAAACATTGCCTTCTGCCTCTGCCATCTCATTTACACTAATTAGTGGCTTAGCATTAGAGCCAAAAGAACTTTAACCCAGATAATCATGACTTCTGTTTAGTACTCTGTAGATGGATGCATTTCTGTAGACTGATACATCTCTGACAGATGCACCTCCCTGGTGGAGACCCTGATGCTGTTGAAACTTAGCCACCCTGCAGGAAATAATACCCTAGGGAAGGAATTATAGAGCCCCTCATCTTCCTACCAACCCAGGGCAGGATGGCAAGAAAGAGAAGAGGAAAAGTGGTAGACTAGACCCTGTGTTCTCAAGGTAACTGCAACTGTTGCTTTCATTTTCAAGGACAATTGATTGCTTAAAGCTTTCTCTAGCCATCATTAGAAGAGGCATTCATCACAGATACATTCATTAAGAATGGCATCATCAGGAGTACAAATTGAGACATAAATATATACTCCCGCAAGACAATGACTTTCTAGTTGATGGCAAAATCTTGCCAACCTCAAGCTATTTAGTAAAAATTAACAAAAAAAAAAATGTATATTCCATTTTATTTCATTCCTGACCCGGCCTCTGTCTTCCAAGTTAATGTTAAGAAGACCTTTAGGAATTTTTCTGAGTCCTGAAACAATCCTGAGCTAACATGACTGTTACTTTCTTAATTTTAACCTTTTGCAAAGATATTGGCTGTGAACTGGAAGTGAGATTTTGAAAATGTCTCTTTGCAGTTCTGCATTTTTCTATGCTGCTCTACTCAGAGTTGGGAATCTCAGGTTTTTCTTTTCTTTGTCACCACTATAGGCTACAAAAGGTAGGAGCAAGATCTGTGTAATGAAATCATGTAGTGTGTGTGTGTGTGTGTGTGTGTGTGTGTGTGTGTGTGTGTGTGTGTTTTGAGAAGGAGTTTCACTCTTGTTACCCAGGCTGGAATTCAATGGCACAATCTCAGCTCACTGCAACCTTCGCCTCCCAGATTCAAGCGATTCACCTGCCTCAGCCTCCAGACTAGCTGGGATTACAGGCGCCCTCCACCATGCCTAGCAAATTTTTTATATTTTTAGTAGAGACCAGATTTCACCACGTTAGCCAGGCTGGTTTCAAACTCCTGACTTCAAGTGATCAACCCTGGGATTACAAGCGTAAGCCACTGTACCCGGCCTTTTGTGTGTTTTTATATTATGTCATATACCCATTTTATCAGATATTTAACCAAAAAATATTCAAAGATAATATTTGCAAAAAACAATATGCTCAATTTTCATCATGCATACCATTCTTAACCAGTTTTTACATTCATATATTGGTCACAGCATTGAGCCAGGTGATAATATGTCCCTAACTCTTACATCTATTATTTATACTACTTCTTCCTTAAGTCAACTTTTACCATCTGCTAACTAATTACATGGCAATTTTTTAAAGTTACTAATTATTATTTTATATCTATTATTTTAAGGCCATATTCACTATAAACTTGAAATATGAAATGTTTATAAACATGAAACGTTCTTAAGAAAAACGGTGTGTCAAAATTTTGCAATTCACTTTTTTGAGGTTGCTCTCTTCCTGTTATAATCTAATTCATATTTGAGGCCAGGCGCCATGGCTCACACCAGTAATTTCAGCACTTTGGAAGGCCGAGGCTGGCAGATCACTTGAGACCAGGAGTTGGAGACCAACCTGGCCAACATAGTGAAACCCCATCTCTCCTAAAAATATGCAAAAACATTAGCCAGGCATGGTGGCATGCACCTGTGCTCCCAGCTACTTGAGAGGCTGAGGCGTGAGAATCACTTGAACCTGGGAAGCAGAGGTTGCAGTGAGCTGAGATCAACCGACTGCACTCCAGCCTGTGTGACAGAGTGAGGCCCTGTCTCAAAAAAATAAATGAAATGGGCCAGGCACGGTGGCTTACGCCTGTAATCCCAGCACTTTGGGATGCCAAGGCGGGTGGATCACGAGGTCAAGAGATCGAGACTATCCTGGCCAACATGGTGAAACCCTGTCTCTACTAAAAATACAAAAAATTAGCTGGGTGTGGTGGCACATGCCTGTAATCCCAGCTACTTGGGAAGCTGAGACAGGAGAATCGCTTGATCCCAGGAGACAGAGGTTGTGGTGAGCCAAGAATGCGCCATTGCACTCTAGCCTGGGCAACAAGAGTGAAACTCCATCTCAAAAAAAAAAAAAAAAAAAAATGAAGTGATGACTGGATGCTGAATGGAGAATAGATGTGAGCAAACACTTTTTGTAAAGAGCAATTTGCAATGTGTGAAGACTCTAAAATGCATACCCATTAATCCAGTACTTATTAGAAGTTTATCCTAAGGAAATAATCAGTACTATATTCAAAGATTTTTATGTAAAGATATTTAGCACAATATCATTGAGAATAGCAAAAAGTTGAAAACAGCCATTTTAATTGGGGAATATGTAAATAAATAACAGTATATCCTTATAGTGGAAAATTATGCTGTTATTAAAAGTGAAATCATATGAAAATATTATAAAGTGTGATACCAAATGTTTTAATGTTTCTATTCACAGAAAAAAAAGAAATATTAGAAATAAATTCATCAAAAAATCAGAATAAATACGTTTAAATTGTGAGATGCAATTTTTTTGTTTTATGTATTTTCTAAATGTTGTAAACTAAGCATGTATTTCTTTTATAAAGGAATAAATGTCCTTGTACATTATAATTTTCTATTTTATATTTCATTAATCAGTGCCAAATATATGATTTAAATGTGTTATGTGCCTATAAAATTTTTCTCAGGTTAAAAAATATTACCTTTTGTTTATCATGCTTGTTTGTGAAACTAAGACATGTTATCAAATATTTTCAGCTAGCACAGTACTTGCGCATGTTTCTAAAAAGTAAACTGTTTCTGTCCTTTATGTTTTTATCCTTTTGTAGGCGTTTGCCTGGTGGCCTGATTTGTTGGCTGAACATGCAGAGAAATTTTGGGCTTTATTTACCGTGGATATGGACACTGCACTAGAGGCTCAACCACAAGACTCCTGGGATAGTTTTCCTCTTTTCCAACTGCTTAATAATTTCCTCCGAAATGACAGTGAGCACTTATGTTTTCTTTAGTATGTGAAATGGGGAGGGGCAGGAGAATGTTGAATGTCAATGCATTTTTACAGTGTTCCAGCACCGCCACAACAAGAGTTCAAATGGGTAACATTTAGGTTTGCTTAGCCTGCCCAATTATGTCAGGCCAGAGACTAAGGGAGCCCGGGGACACTTCCACATCCCACTGGGCTCTGAAGTTTCTATTATTCCCATCCTCCTGCCTTCTTTGGGGTCTGATAACCTAGGCACCCTTCTTTATGAACCTTATCGTACCTTATGAAACTTAAAATCTTCAAAGGCTGGCATTTCTAAAGTACTTGAGAACATTTACATCTTTGAAAGACACCTTAATAATTCATTATTCTAGAAATCATGTTATGTTAAAGCTCCTACTTAAATCCATCTTGGTAATATTGCTGGCCTGAGAGTCAGTTCATTTCTACAGATGATAGGCAGATATTGCTATGTGGTATGACTTGCTCATTCAGTATTTAGAAATTAAGGGCCAGGCATGGTGGCTCATGCCTGTAATCTCAACACTTTGGGAGGCCGAGGCAGGCAGGTCACCTGAGGTTAGGAGATTGAGACCAACCCGATCAACATGGAGAAACCCCATCTCTACTAAAAATACACACACAAAAGAATTAGCCAGGTGTGTTGACGCATGCCTGTAATCCCAGCTACTTGGGAGGCTGAGGCAGGGGAATTGCTTGTACCTGGGAGGTGGAGGTTGCAGTGAGCCAAGATCGCGCCATGACACTCCAGCCTGGACAACAAGAGTGAAACTCTGTCTCAAAAAAAAAAAAAAAGAAAGAAAGAAAGAAATTAAGGAGCTTGTAAAGGCTCTCAATTGAGACTTTTATTCTCAATTCAGTAATAACTTTTACAGGTCCTCTAGCAAACAATATAAACTTTGTTTTTTATCAAGATTTTACCATTCAGATTCCTAGGCCTTTTCTGTGATGCTTTTTTTTTTTTTTTTTTTTTAGTTAGTCTCAAGTTTGGTTCCCATTGACAGTCTTTATTTCAATACTTGAAGTGACCCATGAGGTCACTAATTCCCTATTGAATAAAATTCTTGTCATGATGCACCAAGGTGAACTCTGCCTCCTCCTAGCCTCTGGTTCTGACCCATTCTCTTTGATCAATGTTACAGTTGTCTTCTATCATGTATTTTCTTCTGCTACTCTTTATTCTCATATAAAACAACTCTATCTTATGATAGGCTTTCCATGCCCACTGCCATTCTCATCACCTTAACCCTGAATAGACCTCACTCCATTTCTCAGTGTTGTTCTGGAGTATGGTACTCAGAACAACATGTGACCTGAATAACCCAGACCCAAATGAGAGGTGCCTTACTTCTTCCCTGTCTTCCTGCAGCCCAAGGCTGCTCTGAATGTCCAAGGAACTTTCTTCACGCTGTTAATACATTTAGAATTTTTTTTATTATACTTTATTTAGTACTTTTTACATTCTAAAACTGCATGTGTTTTTTCCTCTCTCTTCCCAGAAGACCACTGCTATATCTTTCTGGTTGTAAACCTAAATTCATGTTTTTATAGTTGTCTTTGTTTAAAAAAAAAAGTCTTTATTGGTTTTGTTCATGGATCTAGTCCAGAGTTTCTTAACTTTCTTCGGTCGTTCACCCCTTTAAGTCTGTGATGAAACTGGGAGCGGGGGGGAGATCACACAAATATGAAATCATTGTAATATAGTACTTTCCATGGACATCCTAAATTTAGGATACCAGGTTAAAAACCTCTGTTCTAGTAAGAGAGCTATCATGTTAGTGTAATTAACAATGTGAGTTTTGGTGCCAGACAGATTCACATCTCTCTGGCACTTACTACTTGACCTTTGACAATAGCTTAACCTCTCCAAACTGTAGGTGCTTTATCTATAAAAGAAGGAAAATAATAGCACCAACAGTGTCATTGTGAGTGAGCACTAAAAGATAACTCACATATAATAGATGATAAATAAATATTTGAGATTTTATTAGTCTTACTCATTCTCCTGTCCAATTTTGTTTCATTTTCAAAGATGCTCTTATAAAGACAAAGAACTAAACATAGAATTCCTACCTGAGATTCAACCGTAAGTTGTCCTTTCAGTGGTTGCTAATAAACCCACATATAATTATTCATATGTGAATCATTCCTTCTGCAAATTATCCTCAGACAGGTTTTGTTTTTTGTTTTTGGGTTTTTGTTTGTTTGTTTTTGAGACAGAGCTTGCTCCATTGCCCAGGTTGGAGTGCAGTGACACTATCACAGCTCACTGCAACCTCCACCTCCCATGTTGAAGCAATTCTCATATTTTAGCCTCCAAGTAGCTAGGATTACAGGCATGAACCATCACTCCCAGCTAATTTTTATATTTTTATTAGAGACAGGGTTTCACCATGTTGTTCAGGCTGGCCTCAAAATCGTAACCTCAAGTGATTCACCCCTTGTGGCCTCCCAAAGTACTGGGATTGCTGGTGTGAGCCACCGCACCTGTCCCTCAGCCAGTTTTTAAGTTCCAATTTGGTTCCCTCCTACCAGCTAATAATCTTGAAATGACTCTCTTTCTTTCCCAATCATCTATCATCATTCATTTTCTGCTATGAAATTACAGTCAGGGTTTTAATATTATCTTAAGACAAATGTATAACAATAAATCTGCTGCCAAAAATAAATAAATAAATAAATATATATATATATATATATATATATATATATATATGTTATGCATTAAGTCCCCTCAATGAGAATAAATAAGTAGGATATTTTTTAACACTGTTTTCTCCATTCGAATGAAAACTCAAGAATCAAACATACTTAGATGTATCTTGGGGATTATTTAAAAATGAGGCATTTATTAATGTTCACCATCAAGCAATTAATTAAGATGGTGAATAATTTAACTTATTCAAAATATCGTATTTTTTATAGAGAAAACAAAATATATTGTGGATTTCTTGGAAGTCTTGTTGGAGAACCTCTATTACAACTCCAGTGAATTAAGATCTTTTCATATTTATTTTCAAGAAGAGTTTTTTCAATTCAATGTAAATTTGTGGGACAATAAATTAGAACTACATGATTTTCATAGTTAGAACTATAAAATATAATTTTCAACCATATTTACAAATATTTATTTCACGTATTAAATGTGTTTTATATCTCTCTTCTGATTTAACCATTTCTGTAACATTGGTTACATATCATCTTATGCTATTTTGTTGTACAGTACTCAGTCAAAATAGAGAAGCGTTTATTACTGATCTCTTTCAGGCACTGTCAATTTTGAGGATAAGTCTAGACCTTGGCTTTTATTTTATGGTGATTTGTAGATTTTAGAAAACATCAGTTAATTCTGAGAAAAGCAGCTCCTCCATGTAGAGAGTTAAACAGAAAAGTTCCCTAGTGCCATAATTTCCTTTTGGTACTGAGAGTGTGGTGTGATCTGGGGAACTGAAATAAAATGCAGTGACTTTAATCCCAAACTCACAAGTTTCCATCTAAAATCAACACCACTGAGTAGTCGGTAAAACATAATTCTTCTAGCTGTTAATATCACCCTTGGTAATAGTGAAGACCATTGTTAATAATTGTGTGTTTGTTTTATTACATTCCTTAGATACTGAGTGTTTTAGTGAATTCTACTCAAATGTTTAATGTCAACCTGCAGCTGCCCCCAAATTGTCCTTTTGGAAAACTATGAAAAAATATTGCACTTCTTTTTGTACCCCTTGAAAGAAAAAGAAATTCTTACATTGTGGCTATAGCATTATGGTTTTTACCAGTTTGACCCAATTAGAGTTATTGTCTAAATTCCAAATAATTACAACTTTACAACTAGACAAAGGTAATAGGACAGAGAGCTCTGAATGTCCAGTCCTGGGAAGGGAGTTAATTTGTTGAAAAACAGTGCTTGCTTACATGGGTATAAGTCAGTGTGTTATGCAAAATAAGCTGCTGATTATATATGAGTTTTAAACAGTTTGTGATTCCTTACTAATAATGTTGCATATTTATGTTTGCTTTCCCAAAATTTGAAATTACTACGATCTCTCAAACTAATGGAGATATTAGTTAGAATTTGCACTTTATTAGTGGCTTGAAAACTTTATATCTATGTTGGGGGCTGGTTCATGAATAATTCAGATGTCCTAATAGGTTACTTATCTTCCTTATATTAAAAGTTTTATGATTCGATGTTTAACAATAGCTTTTTATCTTTTGGAGTATGGAAGGGATTCTAAACAAAACTCTTCATTTTCTAGCTAAGGAAACCTAATGCCTAGAGGCAGGAATTGGGGGCGCGGGTGGGGGCTTGACTGCAGGGAGTTAGGGACAGAGGTGAGTAGCAGCCTGACTGCTGGGTCTCCTGTTACATCTCATTTCACTTACCAAAAGCAGATTCTGGGGGTATTTATAAAATAATAGAACATTTTTAAGGAAGACAAGAGAGTCCTTGAACTTTTAGTTTTTAATTAGCAAGAAAAACAGCTGAGAAAAACAGCTCCTCCTTGTAGAGAGGTAAACAGAAAAGTTTATAAGGGCATTGTATTGTGGGGGACAGAGGAAGGGAGTTGGTTATCAGAAAGGACCATACATGTGGTCTTAGCATGTATGTTAGGAATCATCTGTGACAAGAATTCTAGGGATTGAACTAATTAGTGAGGGAAGGTTCAAGACAGCAAATTTGGTTTCTGTTTTAAGGAGAGAAAAGCATCTGCCTGCGGTGTGTGCCTTTCCTTCTTTCCTTACAGTTAGCCGTGATTAGGGAAAGTCATACCTTTAAGAACCCTTGGAGATGACATGTGGTTTTCCTCAAGGGAAGAGCACCAGCTGCACCACAATTTTAGCAACTGTCCCCAATCTCTCACCCCTCACAGATTCACTCACTGATTCCCAGAGCAAGACTGATGATGAAAACAAACTCAGCCTACATTTCTGGCCAAAAAAGACCAAGCTCTTCGTTTTGCTCTCCACCCTGCCTTCA